AAAGATGTTTTTTAAAAAAAAGACCAAATAGATTATATATATATATATATATATATATATATATATATATATAGTTACTTTGGGGGCTGGGATGATGGCTTAGTGGTTAGGACCACTTGTTCCTGCAGAAGACCTGGGTTCAGTTCCCAATACCCACATGGCAGCTCACAACCATCTGTAACTCCAGTTCTGGGAGATCTGGTACCCTCTTCTGGCTTTCACAGGTACTAAGCACAAATATAGTTACATGTACATACATACAGGCAAATATCTATACCCATAAAATAAAAATAAGTAAACTCTAAATTATGTGTGTATGCTTTTAAATTTAAGAACACACCTTGACTATCATGTCTAATTCTGTGTCATAGCTTTCACATAGAGACAGCCTTTAATTGTTGTTACATATTAAAAAGATTCTTCAGCCGGGTGGTAATGGTGCACTCCTTTCATCCCAGCACTCATAAGGCAGAGGCAGGCAGATGACTGAGTTCAAGGCCTGGTCTACAAAGTGAGTTCTAGGACAGTCAGGGCTACACTGAGAAACCCTGTCTCAAAAAAACAAAACAAAACAAAGCAGAAAAAAGATTCTTCTATGGACGTGCTTGTCAACTGATCTTCTTACCCTGAGCAACTCCAGAGTGAAAAGGAAATGAACTCTTGACTCTCTGTGCCTTGCAGTCACAGAGAATACTAGCCATTTCGGTCCCGGCCTCACAGGAGCACAAAGGGGCAGGGTGCTGACCTGAGTGAAGTTCTCTTGGAAGTGAGCCTGTCCTGCTTCACTCTTCCTGTCTCCCCAGCTGACCTCTCCTTCATAATTTCAGATTGAAACCTTCAGAGGACTGTGGATAGACATGTGGGTTTCTAGAATGCTGAGAAATGCTTGATGTTAAAAATCTGCTGAAGCTGGGGCTGGAGAGATGACTCAGAGGTTAAGAGCACTGTCTGCTCTTCTAGAGGTCCTGAGTTCAATTCCCAGCTCCCTTTTCTGGCCTGCAGGCAGAACACTGTATACATAATAAATAAATAAATCTGCAGAAGCAAGTAATTCCCCTAGGATGTCCTCCAGCACCTTCCAAGGATGTGTGCTAGGGTGAAAAACTTCAGAGCCAAATGTCATTGGAAGACATTCTTTCCCCATCTTTTTCCTCCTCCCACCAAATTCTTCACATGTGAAATAACACAGGTGCCAGAAAAATCCCAGCTTCGGTGGCTACAAGATTCACATACTTGACCTAAAAACTGGTCTGATTATATAAGCTTCACAGAAATTAACAGTTCATATTGAGGGAAGCAAGAAAAATGGAAGGCTGCTTCTCCTTACCGCCATTTACTTTGGAAGGGTGGAGCTTGGGGATAGATAATTCCAGAAGTCATCAAGGGTAATATTTTGGTAAAACCTGGGATTCCCAAAGCTGATGCTTTTGTTAAAAGAGAAGAAAGGTGCTAGAAATAATATAGACACATGAGGGGAGGAGAAGTAAAAAGAGAGAGATGGAGATGGACTTGTGGTTTGCATTATAAAAAAAATGAAGGATGTGAGGAAAAAGAGACAGGCTTGGAGAAAGAGGTTGTAAAGGCAGAGAACGGAGAGACATATACTTCTCAAGTCAGAGAGGAGAGAAGGTGTGTACAGGGCACTACTCTACCCAGCGTCCAGGCAGCTGACCACTTCCGGTCTATGCTGCTGGGTCAGCCTGCTGTTCTCAACACAAGGGAACAACATACTCTCCAACGTGGCATCACCGTTTCTTCAATTTTGTTTCCTTTTAGGCAGCAAAAAGACATGAGTCTTTAACAAGCTTGAACCTGGAAAGGAAAGCCCGTCTGAGAGAGGAGGCAGCTATGAAGGCCAAAACAGAGTAGAAGTATTTGTACTGGATTTGGAAAACCTGGGAGTAAGGTTGCTATAAGAAGCCTGCATTGGAAAGAATGTGATATGAGAGCCACTTTGCAGACATACGCTTTGCACAGATTTATTTCACTTCCCTATTTCTGCTATAAAGGAACAAATAAATTTTCTTAAAGAATGACTTGTCTGTGTTTTGATGATTTCATCCAAGTAAAACTTAGCCTCCCCACTTTTCAGAGAAAATAAAAAAGAGGCAACTAATTTCAAATTAATATTAACTCTTTTTGAAGCATCAGATACCTACCTAACTTCTACTCACATTCCAAGGTTGACATATTCTCTGAGGCCCAAAGAGTGTGGGTCTTCTCTCTTCTGTGTACCATGTCTGAAGGGACAAAAAGACTAGCTGGGTTCGCTGCCCAGATACATGTTTGGAAGCCAGCCTTCCAAATGCCAGGGTGCCTTTGGGGAGACTGGTTCCCAGGAAACTCAAAAGCAGCCAGACTGCACACTATTGTCCAGCATGCCAGTAGGTGGAGGCATTTAGAAGAACCTTTGAGAGTGCCTGGCAAAGTCAGGAGAGTAGTCTGCCAAGAGTTTTGAGGTGTTTATCATTCATCATAGAATTGCCGGGGGCCAGCTGTTACCTCCTAGTTCATGACTTGGCTCCCAAGTAGCCCTTTTCCTACTGCCAGGGAATTAAACTTTGTACTTATGAAAATGCCTCCCCATTCTTGTTTATTAGTATTGGAAAATAAGCACTTATACCCCTATATGCTTCATTAGCCGCCTTATGCTACCACGGTGTCTGGTGTTCCGGTGGTTTCTGCTATAAACATTTCAATGACTGTTTCGTGCCTAAATGCTAACAGATGACATATCATCGTAGCCACCCAGAACACCACTACTCAGAGTTAATAGGTGTGATTTTTAAAAGCCCCACATGCCGCTGTCTGGGAACTTAATGAGATACACTTGCAATGGAATGCTGCCAATAGATTCA